TAAATGAATATTATATATGGCTGGGTGTGAATTTAAAAATGCTCTCAAATCTTAAAATTCTTGGATACTGGAATGCAATCATTAAAGGTAATGCAAGTCAACAAAGTAATGAAATTGGTGTCTAGATGATTTTGAGCGTATGAGTTCTTTGTTATGATTTGAAGTTTGAACCCGGTACAACTTTACCCAGAATTTGATCCAGTGGAATGTCCAGTTGACTGCCCAAGACCTTGTGAGATTGTTTGTCCTGCTAATGCTATCTCATTAGAGGAAAGGATACCAACAGCAGAGCCTTTCTGTGGCACCACTGTTTCGAGTAAATTAGAGGTTTTTCTTTTGGGGCATTGACTGTTTTATGAGTTCCTTAACAGAGTCTCCACATTGTTCTTCATATTTTGAAATTGCACTGGTGTGCAGGGTGGAGTTATAACTGAGCGCTGCTATGGCTGTGGTCGTTGTTTTCCAGTTTGCCCATATGATAAAATAAGTGAGTGATAGTTTTCTTTTGCCATGTTGCTTCTTTTCACTAAGCTGGCTTTTGCTTTCACCAAAACATTGAGGAATACTTCAATTGCTTCAGTTGCATTTATGGATTCATGACAAGTATATTTGGATCTCTGAATAGCTTGTCTGAAATGATATGTAGGTGCCATTACATATATAAGGGATGCTACTGCTGCAGCTAGCCTACTTAAACAAACTGATGTTGATGCAGTAGAGATACATACTAGTGGAAGGTACAATTTCAAAAGAAACATATATCATATACCTAATTAAAAAGGCATACCCAAATAATGATTTATCGGAAGAAAGTTATTCATGTAATAAGTCCCATGAAAACATCTAATTCCATATATGTCAAATGGCACCTTCATTGACTTGAATTCAACACAAATTCAATGACTCTTATTCCTAACAAAAGTTCTATCATCTTGTTTAGGCAGACTGATAGCTTCAAGGAACTTTGGGATGGTCTGAAAGATTCAATTCAGTATCTAGAGCTAGTAGCAGTAAGTACAGCATTTTCCTGCATTTTGACTCTTGACTGGCTAAAGGTCACAATTGTAACAAAACAGTTTAAGTACAAGCAGCCTTGAGGTTCCCTGAACTGATCTCTGATATATTCAGGTTAGCTTACCTAATATTGGGGATGCAACCATACCATCAATGAACACAATGTATTCCATTATGGAGTCTAATCTACATGCCTTCAACTTATGGCAGGTATGCACATGCTAAATTTTTAACAGATTTGGTAAATGATAGCTCTATGTTTCCATCTTGCCCGGATTACAATGAAATCAGTTCAAGTGATGAAAAATAAACGATTCTTCCCTCTGAATCATTAAAAATTAGAAACAAGAATCACATTCTCCCCAATATTTGACTCTTAAACAAAACAGAAAGTTGTTTAAAAGGACAATATTTATTCTGTAATGAAATATTTATTTTGTAATGAATAGACTCTGGGACGGAAGGATTCGAACCTCTCCCCCCCTAAAGAAAACCAATAGGTAAATAAAATTAAATCTAATTGTTTGATTTTAAATATGAAAATTGCAGTTGGATGGCCGCCCAATGAGCGGAGATATTGGCCGAGGTGCCTCCAGGGAGTCGATAGCATTTGCTGTTCAATTGGCTGCTACAACAGACAGGCCTCCTGGTGTGTATACACAGATTACATTGTCACCGCCACTATGTCTGTCAGCACTCAGTATTTTGGTTTTTTGCTGGTCTCTACTAATTTACTTCACGTGATAGGCTTCCTACAATTGGCAGGAGGAACTAACGGCCACACTGTTGAGGGACTGAAAAAAGAGGGGCTTTTTCAAACACCAATTCCCAGTAATATCGTTTTTTCACCAATGCATTTTGTTTGCCTTCAAGTGTAAAAATCTCTGTTATGGTTCCTTTGTTTTGACTCCATTTTCCCTAATATGTAGAGAACTCAGTCGAAGAAAAGTTGAGGCATGCTTCAATTGGTGGAATAGCTTATGGCGGCTATGCACGAAAGGTTGGTCTAATTCAATTTGTAGCCTGACTGTGTGGATTGGCTTGGGCTGCTTGGCAATTCTTTGGATCTTTCTTTAACATCTAGTAACTTCATCTTCAGGTTGTTGGAAGGATATTAAATTTGATGAGGCAGCAACATGGCGGTGTCAGCATTGAGAAGCATCCGGACAACCTTTTGGAGGCTGTTAGAGAAGCCCTTGCGCTGGTTGGGACAGTCAAATGCTACGATATTCTCTCTCTTACCATGCCTCTTTAACTTTATTATCTTCTTTCACAATCCACGCTAGAAGTTGATTCCAATTTCGATGTGCTATACAACAACCATCTTGGGTAGGATGATCAGTATTTCCCTTCTCCTTATTACTATTAGAGAGTTGGGTCGGGTTAGGGCGAGGTTAGAGTTCAAGTATTATCCAAGATAATTTTTTTGCCTTTACATCAAAACCTTCAACATCTGATGACGTCCGCTCTACAGTCCAGCTACCCGAACTTCCTTTCCCTTTCGGTATTGGAATTTGATCGAACAAAAAAACCAATTTTTCATCACTCTCATTCCCCATATATTGAGGTATCCTGCAAAGCAAGGAGCTTTCAGCCCCTCAACACAAACTTATACAGGATAATCATTAGGCTTACATTCTCGATTGAGATGGGAAGGTGAAAGAATTATTGCAGCAGTATCTTAGAAGCAAATATTGTTGAGATTCACCCAACCTTCTTTTGCTTGAGTTTGTTATAATAGTCTTACCAAACTCCCATTCTTCCACCAAGTTTGATTACACCATGTCTTGGTTGGATATAACCAGTCCAACTGAAGTAAAGCCTTGGTGTGGTGCATAGAACAATCCATAGCTTATTAATATTGCTTATAGATGTTTTGCATGCGTCCTATCTCCTGTATCTAATTATCATATATGTTAGCTTTGCAGACCACTTTTATGCATAACTTTAAATAATACTTACATGTAAATATAGTTTTCAGATTCAATGTATATGTGGAGTACGGCAGAGTAAAAAGTGAAAAACTATTCTTTTCGTAGAAAAATTTATGATCGTATAATTTCTACGTGAATTTAAAATAGCGTATCTCAAATTTCATTGACGCCCTTTTGGTTTAACATGAAGCTTAATTTTTATGATAAATTATTAAATTATTTTTTAAAATTTAACGTTTATTGTAATTTAATTTTTAATATTTTTTCTAACAATTTTATTTTTAATATTTTGCTATTTTTTAGAAACTCTTAATTTCCTTCTATTTTTTAATAAAAATAGATAAAATAATTAGATTATATTTGAATGATTTAGAAAAAAAAATAACTTTGACCAATTAATTAAATTAATAACAATAATTCATTATTTTAAGTTTTTAATTAGAAAAAGAATAAAATTAGACATTTAAAATAAACAAAAATTGTCATATGTTAAATTATTAAAAAAAAAAATTAAGAATTAAATTATACTCGGTCAAATTTCATAGATTATTATTAACTTGACCTAATTTTTATCATGAAAGAGAGTTACAAATTATTTTTAAATAAATTTATATATTTATTAATTAAACGATATACATATATATATATATATATCAAGCATAATGTAATAAAAATAATATTTAAAAGTTAATGGGTAAAATATAAATTAAGTATTCAACTTGTTACACCACTAACAAATTGTTATAATGCTATGTCTTTGCCCAAGTTGGAAGAATGTGGATTCATAGTTTATAAAGTCATATTTTATTTAGTTGAATTTGAGTTTTAACTAAAAATAATATTTATTTATTTATTGGAATGTTTATTCCAAAATTTTATTACTAAAAAATGTGATTTGGTAGGTGAAAATTGTGATTTTTTTAGTTTAATCTTTTTTTTTTCTTGAGAGAAAGTTTAACTCTTATTATATCTCTACTTTAATTATCCTTAATTAATTAAATATTTCAAATGGTTCATTATAGGTCCTTAATTAGGAACCAATATATATATATATATGTATAAATAAAATTTAAGTACGATTATATTTCTACGTGATTTTATGTAATTTATTTTTTTATTGGTTACAAATTCTGAAATTACATACTATATAAATTCTTTATTAAAGTATGATATTTCTTATAAATTTTGTTATAAAGTTTTCACTTTTCTATAATTTTATTCATATGAAATAAAATTTATATTTTTTTTTATATATTACAAGAAAAAAAATTAGTTGATTGCTAATTAGAGTGGTTGCAATTATTAGTCATCAATAGGCGGCAAGTCAATGCTAAGTAGCTTTCAAAGTGGCATTCATTATTAGTGTTTTTAAGTACTATTAATCAGAAGTATTAATTCAAAACATTTTAAAGTATATTATAAGCATGTTATATAAAATAGCATTCAAATATTTATTATTATTTTTATTATTACAGGCCTACGAGACACACCACCTCTTGTAATTTAATCCGAATATTATGGGTCGGAGCCAACTCCTACCTAACCGTAACCCGTACCCGTCCCCGTCCACCTTCCATTCCCCCATCAGAAAAAGAGAACATTTTTTTTAAAATAATTAATTTAAAATTATTTTAATTTTATTTAATATAAATATTAAAATCAACCACTCGGATTACGGATGCTTATATAATAATTATGCTTTAATAATTATTTAATTTGGCATAAATCTTAATTTAAAAATATACAGGCATTAATATTTAATAAATATTAAGTAATAATAATAAAACATTGAACAAATCAAAATGTCAATCGCACTCGTGAACTAACTACCTTCAGCTACGTGCCCCGTTTTCCCCCTCTCCGTTCCGTTCTCTTCCACACTTTCCCCCTCCTCCCCGCCGGTGGCTAAAAGCATTTCCCTCCCTTTCCCT